AAAAATCAAGTTTAAGTCATTTTATTCGACTTTACGTCTGTCCGCCACAAATATTGAAGTCGTAATATCACTAGAAAAATGTTTAAAGCACATAAAATCATATTAAAATATATACATTTACAAGTATATAATGTATTTACAATACATGCATTTATAAATTTAGATTACTTTTTTCTGTACTATATTAAAAACTAAAATTTATTTGTTTGTAAGCTTAAAATAGATCCTTATTAACCATACATTATTAAAAATGCATTAATAAATAAAATACAGTACCGGAATTGGCAATTTATAGTTTAGCCTAGTGACAAGTAGATTTGGAGACAAGTAAATTCGACTTACGTCGTTTTTCGACTTAAGTCGTTTTCCTAGAACCAATTACCGACGTAAGGCGAGATATACCTGTATTTAATTGCGGCTCGCGAAAAATTTCAAATTTTGAAAAATGGCTCGGACTATCAAGGAGCTTGGCCACCCCGGATATATTCTATCTGCTTGATTTTTTCTCTCTTTAAAATGAAAAATTTTGATTTTAAAGGAAAAAATTTTTATTTTTGTTAAAATTTCTCCTTTTTAATGCATTTATAAAAATACACATTACAAGTTTGTTAAACATAAATCATATTTAAATATTAAAGCCAAATGATTGCCAGATTAAATTGGGTTATGTTACTATTAGTATTAATAAGTAAATACCGAGTAATTTGGCACTAGAGGTCGGCATAAGGCACTATCTCTTATTAAATTTAATAATAAATTATTAAAATTTAATAATTTAGAAAATTCTAGAAGAAAAGAATTGACCCAGAGTGAGACTCAAACCAGCAAATGACACTTACATTGCCAGTTAAACTACCTGGATCTCCATCCAATCCTTCACTTTCAGACATTTAATTTACATATAATCATACTAGTTACTCACAACACATATACTTAATTTAGATATGGTTATATCTAAATTAAATATGTCTGAAAGCAAAGGATCAGATGGAGATCTGGGTAGCATAACTGGCAACACATTCACACGGTAAGTGGTGGTTGCAGGTTTGAATCCTGCTCTGGGTCAATTCTTTTCTTTCAGAATTTTCGAAATTATTTAATAAATATTAATTTAATTATAATTATTAAATTTAATAAGAGATGACACGTAAATCCTACCTCTAGTGACAAATTACTCACTATTAATCCAGCAATCATTTGGATTTAATAAAACTATTGATTTTAGAGATGTTTATGTGTTCATATTTAAATATTACTTATGTAAATATTTAAATATTTACATAAATAAGTATAAATAATTATATCCAGAATTTAATTATTAAATAATTTTCTAATTTTTTTTAAACAAACTTTAAGTTATTACTATATATTGATTATTTAAATTTTATTTTAAAATATAATAATTAAACCTTTAACTAAACTGAACAGTAATAAATAAATATTCTTACGTGATTATTATGAACAACAGTTATATGTTTAGGTGGTTCAGGTTCTTCTGAGAAATGAATTAAGCGGTCTGATGGAATAGCAGGAATACGACATGTTGAAAATATTTTTAAATATTGAGACATATCTAAAGGCTGATTACCCATCATATCAGGAGGAAGCACTTGTCTTTAAAATTTAAAAATAATTCATATATAAAATTAATATATTATTAAATATTATGTAAGTAAAATATAAAATTAATAATTCTCATCTGTTAAAAATTTAATAACTTTTCCAAATCCTTTACAAAAAGTATACTATTTCAATTTATAAATATTTTAATCATATGTAAATTAAAAAATTAAATGTGCAAGTTTAATGAAGATGTTAAAATTTTCTTACATTAATTAATATTACTTTAATATTAATTTAAACAATTAATATCAAATTGATATTATTATACATCTTATATTATTATAATCAACTAGCAAATATACCTGGCAGTGCCCAATCTAAAATAAACAAACTCTTAATATGATTTTAATTTTAGTAATTATCCTAATTACAGTTGTCCCTCTATAGTCCGACGTTTTTTAATTCAACATGCTCAGTAGTCCAACGCACCTCTCGTCAAGGTACCCGTCCCCGTTACGTGTCTGCTTGCACAGAAGCATGTCGCGATGTGAATCTCCCCATCCAATTCTTACTCAATGACACACATTTCGTGTGTTTTATGTGAGCAGTTCTGTTCGAACAGTTGGAGTAGAGAATATTGTAAGTTACTGCTAGCAAAACAATGCGAAATATGTAATTATTTTCGGTAATCTGGACACTTTTGGTAATCTGACACACCTTTGGTCCCATACCTGTCAGATTATCAAGGGACAACTGTATTTTTAGTCCAAGCAATGATAGGTATCTCTGCTAGTAATTTCATAGAAATGGACCAGAAAATGAAATTTAGAGAGCCAATATTTTTTGTTCTTGAAAGTAAAAGAGGAAAAAATTTAAGAACACTGATATATTTTATGAAAATTACAAATTAGCTAACTAAATTGTGTATGGTTTTGAACCATACATGATTTTGTTAGCTGGTGACTACATACTGACTGAATAATTATTTCTGTCACATGGCAATGAATTTTGTAATTTTGTCATTGGTTTTATTTTGATCCATTCTTAATAAAGTCAATTTTTTTTTATTTATATATATTTGTATAGCTTGTTCAATTGTATTTTACAGAAATATTTGCAAAGATTGAAAAATTTCTCCCAATAAAAAAGTAATTCTTAGTAGAGAAATCTGTAACAAAACAGTTTATAGTGATATATTTTACAAATACACAATTTTATTTCACAGAAACATTGAAAGTATATGGGAAATAATCAGATTTTTAAAATATTCACATATTATTAGGTTTTATGTCAGAAACAATAAAATAACTTACAAGTATTCAGATGAAAAAACACCAATTAAATCATATCAATACTGCTTAGCCAGTTATAGCCAGTTCTAACTCATTATTTTCATCAGATGTTTTTAATAATTAAATGGTTTTATACATTTACCATTTCCAAAACAGAAATAACCAAACATAAAGCTAAATATTTTATGGTATTTTTGGTGATAAATGATCATATTCATTTGCTAAAATGAACTTTTATGTTCATTTTAAGAAATTTGTAAATATTCACAAATTTTTTATAAAATGCAATGAAACAGATTTGTAAAAAGTATATAAGTAAAAATAAAGATAAATTTTTTGAAGAAAACTTGGGAGAAAAGATGATTAAATCAATGACAATGCAAATCTAATTCTTTTAAGAAACATATTTATGGTAAAATTTCAAAATTTTTTTTTCATAAAAGCTTATGAATGTTTTTCTTCAAGAAAAAAAATTAATAATTATGAAATGTAATGATAATTTATTAGTCAAAAATAAATTATCATTACATTATAAATAATATAAAACTTTTATATTATCATCTGTTATAGATTGAAATTACGGCACATGTCTGTCAGGCAGAATTCGGTGAACTTTTTGATTTGAAATCTGTTTGATTTTTTCGCAAATATTCCATTTCCACCTGAAGAAGAACTTCATAAAGTTCGAAAACGTTTGTGGAACAATTTTTATAAGATACACGCCTGTAATAGGTTCATTTTAAGTGTAAGTGTACCTCTGTAACAGGTAAACTACGGACAGGATATCTTTACATGCTTTTTTTATAGGCCAAGGGGATGCACTTTAACTCCCTCTGCTGGTGTTATGCAATGAGTAATCATGCTATAGCTCTAATCATTTCCATATCTGCTCTCCATGCCAAGTTTCTCAGAGATATGACAATTCCTTCTTGGTGCACTAATTTTTATGGCAATGAGTGTATTCGCAAACTATTTCTGTTAAGATATGTCAAAAATCTTTAATTAATACCTAATATAGGTATGTACTATACTTGCTATTGTATTAACAAAATACCATGCCTCCAATCAAACCTATTACTGTTTTACTGTGTAGAAACTTCTATATCTCAAAACCCATTTATCTCAAACTTTTTCTCACTTCCTTGAGATTTGAGATAGACAAATTCAACTGTATTTCTTTGTACTGTTAGAAAAAATTTGTTATCATAAAAATACAAATAACTTTCAAATTTATAATTAAAACATCAATATCTTTTTTTAACAATAAACAACAACACACACTATTTCATGTGTGCTTCAATAAATAAAACTTATTATGCATTTAATTTAGTATTAAAATAAAGCAAACAAATTAAACTTACTGATCAATCATTAATTTATATTCCAAAGCTGCAGAAACAAGTTTGGCTGCATAACTGTAAAAATAAAATAATATAAAATTTCATCATTTAATATTTATTTAATTTAGAATTGTTAAACAGAAGTTGCTAAATAAATATGAAATTCCGTTAAGTATTATCATCAATATGATTTAAAATGGTATACTTTAATAGCTGATTTTAACATTTATAACGTTAAAGTCAAATTTTTAAATTTTAATAAAATTTAAAATTCATTAGCAAGAAGGTGACATGATCACACAGATAATATGTACATGTGGATTACATTTGTTTTCATACAGTTAAATCAGGCCTGTAGCTGGAGGGAAAATAGGGTTGGCTAAGCGTCTTTAGAAAATTTAGAGCCACTCCTGTCCATTGTTTCAAATGACAAAATTTGGTTTATAGATTTATCAAAAAATATAAATAATCAATTTTTAAAGTTTAAATTTCAAATACTTTT